TATGTTGTGTTGGATTGGTATTGTGATAGTATTATGTTAGTATTTGATAGATGGGCATTGAGTTAGTATTTGATTGGGTGTAGTATGATTGAAATAACTTTGTTAATGGTAGTGTTTATCTGAACATCCGATCCAAGAACTACCCAAAGAAGGATCTGACTTCTAAAACAGCCCACACCTAGATCCTTTGCTACTTCAACTTAATCTAAATCTTAACCAAACCAAACCAAACCAAACCCAATCTAAATCTAAATCTAAAACCTAAACCAACTCCTATCCCAATCCAATTCCAATTATGAACACTTTCATTTCTAATTTCACCAACAATTAAAATACCAACTCAATACACAGCTATCAAATAACAACTCACTCCAATCTAAATACCAACATAATCCTAACACAATATCAACCTAACACAACACAAATACCAATTCAACTCAATTTAATCATATGATGATAATTTTTAACAATTTAACAATTTAACAACTTTCCCAATAGATCAAAAGAACAACTCAGAACAAGACTACAGGACACTTAAGATACAAGAGAGCATTCCCAACCCATTCCTAGCCCCCTCAACACCCCTACAACCACCTATCGCCTATAACTAGTTAAATTTTATTATTATTTTTGTAGAATGAAACATACACTATTCTTACCAATCGGTAGTATTATTTTGGATCGTGATACGTCTAAATCCTATGTAATCACAGATATACTAGGCCAGGGCGGCTTTGCACAGTGTTATTCCGTCCTAAGTATACCTAATAATCATGAATTCGCCGCCAAAATCATCAAAAAGTCAGAATTAGTCCGACCCAAAAACAAACAAAAGTTACTTTCTGAGATAAAGATACACTTATCAGTGAATCATAAGAATATTGTTAAATTACATACTTATTTTGAAGATGAAGATTTCGTCTATCTTCTTATGGAAATGTGTCATAACAAGAGTGTAATGGACCTACTTAAGAAGAGAAAGACGATTGAAGAGAAGTACGTTCGTGTTTTCTTATTACAAATACTTAGTGCACTAGATTATCTTCATAATGAATGCTCAGTTGTTCATCGAGATATGAAATTAGCTAATTTATTCTTAGATCGTAACTTCAATATTAAAGTTGGTGATTTTGGTCTAGCGGCAGTTATAGATAAGGAAGAAAGAAAAAAGACAATTTGTGGGACTCCCAATTACATTGCTCCTGAAGTCTTGTTTAATTCAGCTACTGGACATTCTTATGAAGTTGATATCTGGTCAGTTGGTGTTATTGTTTATACTATGATTATTGGTAAACCGCCTTTTCAAAAGAGTGATGTTAAAGAGATTTATAAGTGTATTAAAACCAATAGTTATACCTATCCAGCCGATGCTAAAATCAGTCATAGTGCTCGTGTTCTAATTGCTGGCTTACTAGAACTAGATCCTCAGAAAAGACTTACGCTTAGCCAAATCTACCAATCGGACTTTATCAGGGATGTTTCAACTGAACTCAACCAGCCACCAACTACTGAGCAAGAAAATACCCGACCTTCTTATCAATCCCGTCTACCCGATCCAACCCTAAGTACTACTGCTACTACTACCACCACTACCACTACAATTCCTTCCCATTCTCAACCCACTCAACCCATTCAAACTATGCCACCTCCATCTACTACTACTACTACTACTACTTACCCTAACTACTTCCCTCCTAGTACTAAGCCGGGTCTTCTTTCATCTGTTCTGGGCTTTGTTCTTTCTCTTTTAGACCAACCGGGCTCGTATCTGCCTATTAGTACTAGTTGTCCTAATGATTATGTTGTGCATACAATAGATACAATGAGTAAGTATGGGATTGGGTACATTTTAGCCTCAGGTACAGTTGGGATCCTTTTTAATGATTGTACGTCCTTAGTCCTTCGTTCTTTAGCTGTAGCTGAAGTTCGGAGTAAGCAGACTAGTTATAGCTTTGAGTATATGGAGCATAAGACGTATGGCAAGCAAAAGATCATTACTCGTGAGAAGCACCAGACGAGTAATGCTCCAGCCCATCTTAAAAAGAAGATCTTATTGACGCCTTACTTTGTGGAGGCTCTTTTTGAACACTTTCAGTTTAGTGCGAGTAATGTTGATGAATCTGTTTTTGTTATCAAACACGTTAATTTTACCAAAGGTCCTGTCTTACGACTTAGTAATCGGACTATCGTTTTTATTATCAACGAGTCAGTTTTAGTCTTCTATAATGAGGGTCAGTCACTTTTTGCAGGGGGTAGACCACAGATAGATAGACACCAGCTTATTTACTGCCAGCAAGCTCTTAATGTTCTTTTGAAGAAGTAATGATTAGTCTTACTAACTAGAATTTCCTTTTTAGGAATACTTAACTGATCTTGTATAAGTCAAAAGTAACGACTTTTAATCAAAAACCAAACTAACCCAGATCTAGTCGAATTCTGTTCAAATCAATCCCAACTCTATAATTGTGAATAACCAACCGTTAGAAACGAGAACGCCAAATAAACGATCTCCGGCATTTTTTTTCATGGATACGTACTTACCACAGATATGTGTTACTAAAATAGACCATTCTAACGACCTTCTATCTTTGCGCATCGATAATATTGATGCCTCAGTCGTTAATGCACTTAGACGTACTATTATTTCTGATTGTCCAACTATAGCTATTGAATGGGTCTTTATTAAAGAAAACAGCTCAGTAATGGCTGATGAAACATTGGCCCATCGCTTAGGTCTTGTTCCTCTGGTGGCAGATCCTAATTTACTTAAACCGGTTATTAAGTCTGATTCTTTCAATCCGGAAAAGGATACTAATGAGAGTAATTCAATTACCTTGGAATTAGCTATCAAAAACACAACCCAACAAGTTATGCCTATCTATTCCAGTCATCTTAAAGTTACTTCTAGTCATGCTAATGTTACTGTTAAGGAAGGTATTCTGATTAGTCGGTTGGCACCTGGCCAGGAGTTTAATTGTAAAATGATTGCTATTCGTGGTATTGGCCGGGAACATGCTAAATGGGCGCCTACTTCTATTTGCTACTACCGCCAAGTTAAAACAGGTACTATTAATGATCCTAGTCAGTTGCCCCAGATAGAGAAGTACATTCGGGCCGGTCTTGTTAAAACTCCTCAGCCTCATCTTGATGAAAACCACTTGCAAATCAATCCGGACGTTCTTACGGCTTTCCCTGGCGCTCTTTCCCTTAGTACGCGTGAGGATAGTTTTATCTTTGAAATTGAGCCCATCTCTGAATCTCCGATTTCTATTATAACGCGTTCACTTAATGTGCTTGGTGATAAACTGGAAGCTCTTCATCAAGAGACTCTGGCTAATCTACATGGCTAATAATCTTATCTCTTTGATACTATTCATTAAATTAATCTTAAGTATGAAAGACTTGTGTACTATGGCCGTTATAATTGTTCTGGGTTTTATAGGTCTGTCTCCGGCCTCTTCTTAAGTTGGTATTGAGTTGGTTTGGGGCAGGCATATAATAGTTTGGGCTGGATTTATCAAGTCTTTTGAAATGGTGTCAAATCTGGTGCGTATATGAGATAAAAGAATGAAGTGCGACTGTATATATGTTTGCCCTAAGCTGGTGTGGAACTCTTTGACCCATTAGAAATTCAAGGCAGGCTGGTGTAGTGCCCAATACTAACTCAATACTTAACTGATGCATACTCTACTAAAGACATTCCTTGCGGCGAGTAGGGCCTTTTATTAAGTAAATATGGTTGAGCTGGAATAAGATGACGTCATATTGGATTGGTGTTAGTCTTAGTATTAGTACTAGTAAGTCGCGTGTACTAAATAGTGATCAAGTTCATGGTGCAGAAAATGGATAGTGGTCGTATGGCAGCACTACAACTGGTAGTATAATTAGGTTTTAATGGACGATTGTTGACTAGAAGATGTCTTTATTGGTTTTTGGCAATGGACTGTGAGCGGCGCACTGGGTTATAATATGGGCCTTGGATGAGTTGAGGGAAATTCTTCAGGAATAAAGAA